AAACTCCACAAAGTCTGTCACGAAGGTCATTAAGGGTACCCAAGTCCCCCCAAGAGATTCAAAACATGCTGCAACTCATGGCCACAGCAGGAAGTTGCTTATTGCCGTATTTGAGTCACAGTCACACAGAAGTGAATGAATGCTACTAAGGGCCCCTTTTACGTTGAATTATTTCTCCTTATCACAACATAGTAGGTTATTGTGTAAACAACATAGTAGAAAACCTGCACTAGTTTCACAAGAAGTTCTGCAAAGGTGGAAGTTCTTCTATAAAAGTTAATAATATAGATTTCCTTCATAGGATTATTGCCATTCGAGTTTAAAAATTTAAAAAAAAAAAAAAAAAAAAAGTGAAGCAAAATGAAGAACTGTACGGTGCAAAACCCAAGTTCCTCAATGGTTCATAACTGAGAATAATCTCAGCAATGATGCTGAATGGTGGGCTGGCCAGGAAGGACAAAGGGTTAAAGAAAAAATTATTTTAGAAAACAAAAAAATCTAGAATGAGGCAAAGAAAATGCAAGAAAAGATCTGTTTCCAAATTCAAGGGCACTATCAAGATAAGGTCTTGTGGATTAACAGCCTCAGCCTCAGTCCTCACTAGGAAATCCTCCATACATATATATATATATATATGTACACTCATATACATATTTTTAGTATATATACTCATATATCTATTTTATATATATATATATATATATACAGCTTCCATAGCAACATAAATCTACTATTAAACTTTTTTGCTACATGTAGCACCCTAAAGAGCAAATCCCAAACAGCCTGCTTAAAAGACAATTAAATAGCAAAACCGCACTGCCGTAAGGAAAATAAAGGGTCAAGATCCACAGCTCCCTCCAATGCTTAGATGTGTGGGGGAAGCAGGCTACAGAATGGTTGTATAAGGATCAATGAAAGCAGAATTTGGCCTCCATTAGCGAAATCTTTATCATTATGATAAACTAGCAAGGAGAGACATGTGAGTTACTGGAACATCTGGAACATATTCTAAGCAGTAAATGAAGAGGACATAAATGTGATGCACGGTACTGCACAGTAAGGCAGCAACGGTAGAGATAAAAAAAGTGAGGCAGCACTTTTCCTTTTCAGTCTCATTTTCACTTATTCAATCTTTTCCCAAAGAGAACCTTCTGAGAATGCATTTTCTCCTCTTCGGTGTGAAATGCAGAAGCTTATCTCTTGCATTAACATCCATTTGACTACATTAGAGTTATCTGAGCAGGGACTAGTGAGGGAATGGGGAAAGAGAGACCTTTTATGCCATGACAAAATGAGCCCAATGCTCTTTCTATTCATGGGGAACTTAAGGAACAAGAAAAAAGTATTTCATTTAATGCTGTTAAAAGCAAGCTTTGAGTTCTGCAATAAAGCCAATACTGAATTCAGGACTGAATTTCTTGGTCAGATGTAAGCAAACTTGTTGGAAAAAAAAATACAGCCAAGATAATGTGAAGGGAGAAATCTTGAAGTCTGCAAGGAAACTAATCACCTGCACAACTTCTCTGACTGAGAACCTGCAACAGTGGAGATTTTGGAATCACATCAGTAATCTATGAATTTTCCTTTGTGTAATTCATGCATACTACACCCTGTAGTATCTACCATGGACATGAAGATGAGAACCTTCCTTTCCTCTTTGTCATAATCTTTTATACGAAATCAGCAAATGCTGTGTTCCTTACAGACTTCTCTTCTTTAGGCAAAAAAAAAAAAATGCTGCAAGTTTACATTTATTAAATTAGGAAAATTTGAGATTTTTTTTTAATTTGACTTATGTTCCTGAACCATCTGCAATAAATGCATTCATGTGGTAAGACTATGATCTGCAGTGTTACAAGCAATTAATTAACTGCCCCATCCCTGGTTCAAGGCCAGGCTGGATGAGGCTTTGAGCAACCTGGTCTAGTGGGAGGTGTCCCTGCTCACAGCAGCGGGGTTGGAACTAGATGATCTTTAAGATCCCATCCAACCCAAATCAGTCTATGATTCTATGATTTTATGAAGTATCCAAAGGGGCAGTTAATCAAGGCAAAATTACTGGGAAGCTGTTTACATCCACTAGGTTCTGGTTAACTATTCCAGTTGGAAAAGGACCTCAGGATGACTCTATTCCAACTTCCTACTCCAAGCAGGTTCAATACCCAACTCAGACCAGGTTTGCTCAGGGTTTTGTCCATTTAGTTTTTGAAAACCTCCAGGGACAGAGATTCCACACTGAAGAGTTCCTGGTCTCATCAACAGGACTCAAACTGAGCAAAGTGGTGACGCTTGACACAACATTACTCACTAAATTGTGTAGTATAGACCAGTTCGATTAACCTTAACCTAGCACATCAGTGTCTTTGACTTATTTATTCTCTTCGCATTTCCAGGACACCACCATGCTATTATAGCCTTTTTACAGGTGTAGAATTAAGGATCAGAAAGATTGACATTGAAAGACTGAGTGAGAGTTAGGTACCTAAATAATTTTAAAATCCCATGCTAAATATCAAGGTTGCAGAGGATGGAATCACCAAAGAATAAAACTGAGCCTCCTTCCTCTGTCAAAGGCTGAAGTGGACAACTTCAATGACCACTGAAGGAAAAATAACCCCATTCTTTTTTTTCTTCACATCAGAAAGAAAAGAAGTAGCAGAAAAATATGGCAGAGTTGAATATACTCAGGATATTCAGTCCAAGATTTCATTTCATACCACAATCTGATTTACCACAGCAACTCTTCTTGTTCTCCATCCTGTTACTTGCTAAACAATAAAATTACCTGTGGTAAATCTTTCAGTGCTGCAAGTGTAGAAATTATTAAGGAGATTTTAGGCTACCATAGTGTAAAAAGAGAGAAAAAAAAACTCCTTAGCAGACCCCATTGAAAGCCAAGATAACATTTTTATTTTATTAAAAAAAAAATGCCATTCCTTTTTGCCATTTTTTGTTAACTGGCTGGAAAAAAGGAACCAATTTTCATGGAAGTGTCCATAAAAAAAGTTCATCCTGTTAAGACAGAAAAACCCCAACTGTTTAACTATAAAAGAATTTTCATCTAAATCTCAAAATTTTCAAACATCCAGAAATGGCACACAGACACACTGAAAGCCACTCACCCATGTATGGAACAGAGAGGAGACTGGTTATGCAGATGGGCCATGAGGTGAACAGTCGCTACACAAGCCAATATATAGAAGAGGAGCAAAAATCCCTGTGGAAGGTGTAGCATGGCTGTGCTTACTCTGTTTCCTGAAAATTCAGCTCAGTTTTCCGAACCCTTGCAAAACAATCTGTATGATTTATACACACATACAAATACATTGAAGAGATGGGAGAAAGCCAACTTTGGTGTCTTAGAATGCTGTTTCTATGGTATCTAGTCAAACTGCAAAAAGTGAACTGCAAGAAGGTTTCACGGTCTTTAATGCTTTCAAAAAGTATCCTTCAGACTTCGCTTTTCACTTTCTTCCTCATTTTAAAAAGTCTCTAAACTTCTTCGGTAGTTTTTTTCCCACAGTTGTAGACACAACTCAAACACATGGCCTCCTGGTTCTCATCTCCTGACCAAGACAATGAATATGTTGCTTGATGCAACTCACAGGTTCTGAACACATTCTATTACTTTGTACGTCTCTTTCATTTTCAAGTATAAGAATACTAAAAAAAGGCCATTTGATGAGCTGGTACAAGGCAGACAAGTCTTCTGAATTGAGAGAAACTTTGCTGACTGATATCAGCTTACAATCTGGCCCAACATGTTGACCCAAGAACATTCACTTTATAAACAACCCACTTGCTCTGCCAGGACCAAACACACTTTTCAAATAGACGGACTGGGCTGCACTGCTATTAGAGATTATGGTAAAATTAAATGTGTTTTTCTGGGGTTTTTTCTGTCATAAAGTCATCAACATGAAGTCTTTAAGTATTTGCAATCTCTTCTTTTTGTACTACCTTTGCTAAGATCCATTTCTTGACACATCTGAGTCAGTCATAAGAAGAAAAAAAGAGAAAAGTATATCAGGTCAACTTTCTTTCAAGCAAGTTTAACAAAAGCTTATTGAACTGGCCAGCTCTGATAATATCAACCATATGAAAAATATATCTTGGATCTACCAAAGATAAAGCCCAGAGGCTCTACAGCAGGTCAGGACGTACATCACCTGTGCCTTAGCCCCATGTCAGCTTTCCATTGAAATCCACTCCTGAGCATGACACGGTGTTAGAAAACATCCACTTTTCCCCAGATTCTCAAATTCTGATTAACCTGAGAACACTTTCTAGAAAATTGTTAACCCTTAATCTACTCCTTTGCATAGAAGTCATTTCAAACAACTGCAACAGCATAGCTGTGGATAACTTCACAAGACAAACCCATCTCTCACTTCCCAAAATTACATTTTTTTGATTCTTTTGGTGGTGGTGGTGGACTTTTGCTAAATCAAAATAGGAAAATCTTCATTAAACCATTCAGATTCTAAGAATTTGTCCTTAGAAAACAAAACCAAAATTGTATAGATTATGATGATTTACACAGGAACTCTGAGGATGATAACGACTAAAAAGAACTAAGATGTACCAAAATAATTCCTTCAGCAAATATGTATCACAATAACTGGATTAGAAAGGATTTGCCAGCACGAGCCCATAAGTTTGGCTAACTTTTTGATGACAAAAAGTTGAACTCCAGTCATCTGTCGAGCATGTTTGTGTTCCTGTGAGCCTGCCTGCAGCTGGGAACACTGGGAGGGAGGAGAGGAGGGGGAAGGATAGCTGTCCCACACTTGACTGGCTCCTTTCCTTCTTAACACTGTTCACTTTCTATTCCTTAACAAATGTCAACAGTATCCCAGTGATTTCCTACTTGATCTTTCCCCACTTTGCAGCGTTAACAGGCAGTTTGTGTCATCCTTGATTAGCAAATGCATTCTGTCCCTTTCCCATCTCCCAGCATCCCAATTTCCAGGGCAAAAAGTAATGTGCAGGTCACTCACCCCTAACATCTGATGCAAATAATAATACTGCAGCCCTTGGTAATAGAGCAAGAAGGTTTTCCAGAAGAGCCATACATTGAGGGAGAGCCAGAAAAACTGAAATGAAACAGAAACAAGAGATTGTAAGTGAAAGTTACGTGGGCAAACTTTTCAGTGTTAATTTCATTCATAGAACTCTATATGCATATAGTTGCATAAACATATGGAATGGGGAATAAAAAACTTCAAGTATTTAGCATACAATATTTTAAAATATTAAAAGAAATAGCCTTTAGCTGATAAGTTTTCACTTTCATTGAACTTCACAAAACTACCTTGGCGACTTCAGACTACTGAGAATGGGCGAAACCCTCCCCACACCAAACGCTCCTCCAGACCTCTAGTCAGATATTGCACTTACAAAGAATAAAAACTACCAACAAAAAGACAAAGCCAGGACCAACTTGACCTCCAAGAAGCCGCATCTTCTCCCCCAAACTTCAAAGCCTCTAACAAAGCGCAAACACACCTACAACGTGTCCCGCGTCCCAGCAGCACACGGACGCCTGCACTGTCCCCG